AACTGTAGGCGACCCGATCGAATCCAGTCGTCAAACTACGTTTTCGGAAATGAACAGCAGTTCGAGTGAGAAGAGGAGGGAGCAAAAGAGGGGCGGAAAGCATAACTGTAGATAAGCACCAGGGGTCCCCGCCATTTGCGTCTTCGATGCAGGCCATTCTCAAATTTCTTGGACCCAAAATCCCTTAAAACAGAAGACCTGGTAATGCAGGCATCATTTTTCTTTGTGCACAAACCCTCTTCTCTGTCAGATCGTCTCTGGTGGAGTGCGACGCTTCTCGACTCGTGCTCGCGTCTTCACCAAACTGGACGGTGTGATGTTCATCATGGGAAAATTCAAGCAGGATCTCTGTGGCCTCCAGGGCCAGGCCGACTTCTGCCTCTACCTGACTAGCCTGATCACGGAGGCCGACTTCCATGCGGGCTACTGGTTGACGGGAACCCTGCAACGTGGCTGTAAACGACGCAACCAATGGGATCTGACGCACTACGCCATGGTTCGGCGTAGAGGCTATTAAAAGCGCCGATCCTTTCGCACTGATCCGACCTATCGGCCGGTTCAAGGACTCGAACTTTTGATCGGCAGCACCCCTCCTATCCCACCTTCCCGCCGCATGCTTAGCTTCATTTCTTCTCGGACAAATCACCTCATCCCTGAGCCCTGATAAAGGCCCCATTTTCAGGCTCGAAGTGACCGATAGAAACGCGCAAGCGGAAGATTTCCATCTAAGCAGGCAACTGGCAGATTCTTGGGACTCATCTGAGCCCGTTTTTCTGGGAGAGTAGGCAAGATGGATCGTAGCTTGTTGCTTCCCAGCAACTTTTACATTCTTAACGAATAGCGCTGATCAGGTGCCGAGTGAATCTGGAATAAGTACAGCTGCAGGGGGACGCCGAATTTATGCAAATTGTTCTATATTTCCGATGCGAAAATTGTATCTCTCCTCACCACACCGCTCATTAGCCCAGAAAAAGTTTTTTTTCAGGTTGATTTTGTATTTGAATTTATTCATTGTTGGTGTCTGAACGCCTATATTTTGTTCTACCGGTTTAGTAAACAGATAGACTACTTACTAATTTGGCTCATTACTCTTTTATTGACAATGAATCTAGGGGTTCGTGTAGTGCTGGTGACGTATCTCATTTTATTTGAAATGCACCGGTATCTTTTTAGTCTTCATCGCTTCTCCTTGACCTCGTACTTGAAAAATAATGAAATGGTTCGGCCGGCCGGTAACTGACTGGCTTAATTCTAGTTAAAGTTGGTTTGATTTGATTTTCTCAAATTAATTGCTGCAATTTGGCAACCATGAAGAAATTACCGAATATTGTATCCTCTGTCATAGTAGCAATGATAATTTCCGGCATCAAACCGTTGATACGGTACATTCCAATCTTCTCTTCAACCTTTGTGCTATCCAACCTCTTCCCTCTCTTAGCTCCTATTATTGTACTCTCATCCTCCAGTCCTATTTCATATAGCCAATCCTACATACATCCATCAATATCATCTTTTATTCCAATATTTCCCAAGAGTGTGATCCTTTACGTCAAAATAAGTGGGCCATGAGCATCATCGTCATCGGTTTCGTATCACCTCCGCAGGTACTTTCATTGTATAAAAGTTGGATAAATTGAGCTAAAGCACCAAATATGATAAGGGAGGTCTGCAGGTGGGGTGCTCACTTCAGGGAGATACCGGAACAAGAAAAGGCACAAATAGGCAGTATGAAGTCGGGGCGAGGGACGAAGCTACAACACTAGGGGCTTAAAGAGGATAGGAAGAGCGATGCTACAACGGGTGAAGAGAAAATTTGACTTGAGTATACTTTTGCATGTCATTTTGACTAGTTGTTGCTTAGTGAAAAGGATGGCGCCTCTTCCTGAAGACGACGAATTCGATGCCAGCGAAATGTCTGAGAATGAATGTATCAATTCTAATGCAGGATTACTTTGGCTGATTACATTGGAATTGGTAACTTCTTTCATGGCCCCCTGGCACCACAACCAGGCTGTGAAAAAAAGGTCAAACCAACTACCTAGAGCCAAAGATGAACCTTATAAAGTCTTTATTCCAGTCATAGATGAGAAGGATAATTGGGTTTCAATTAATCTTTCGAAATAACATTGCTGTTTGGAATTTCGTTTAGTCTGCAAGTGTTAAAAGATGGCTGATGCCCGTTGATATGACCTTAAATGATTTTGAGATGTTATTATGGCTGACGCAGCTAATGAGTCTTCCTGTGGTTGCAGAGAAAATGGACTGAGCATTGATCCTTCACATGATAGACACCATCGTAGCAGGAACGCATTCTTGCAGAAACTTCAAGTTAACACTCCATCAAGCTGACTAAAAAACAATGCGCTATGTGCTATGTAAATTGCCAATTAATACTATTAAATTATGTATATATATATCATACCAGACTAAGTACTTATATATTTGAGCGTGTTTTTGTGAAGGTATTTGCATCATCTATATTCATATAAATCTGATTAGGAAATACTATTGTTGAGCTCACTTCCATTTCGAGTAACAACAGCAGATTCCTCTTGGCCAACTAGGTTGGCTTTACTGGTACATTCATGCTGACACTGTCCCCGAGGCAATCTACTGCGTCAGCCAGAATGTTTCAGTAAAGCCCACCGAAAGCTGACAATGAGGTGGTGGTGCCGTTGCCTTGTCGTGGGATCGACCCTCCCCTCGAAATGTAAGTAAGCCCAGCAGAAGATTTCCTGAAATTCAACTTTTTTTCGTTTATACAAAATTGCTTGTAAAAAAAGTTGGGCCCAACAGTCGGAATTGTCTAAGCACATGTAAGAAAGTTAAGATAAGACAAGAAGGTCTCAAATGCATTAGTTTTCTGACGATTGCACGCCGGATGCTAAACGCAAAATGAGAAAAGTCATTAAAATTGATGGATTATGGAATATGTGGAACTTAAGGAATGGAGGAATAAAGTTACGTACGCACTACTTATTTTTCGAATTAAGTATTGTTTTTGTGACAACGAGTAAATCAGTAATATGATATGCATTCGCCTTATTTCGTTTAAGGTGATGAAGGACTGGTAGAAGAAGAAGTTTCCCACAATGATATGGGTTTAGCTAACGTTTCCATTGAATTTCACATAATCTTGCTTTCATAAAAGTTGTTATCATCCAGGCACCAGTGGACTGCAGTTTCGACCTCTCATCGGTCTTATCAACACCCTCAGCGGGAGTCGAACCGCGACAGTGCTAACCACTCGGCTACTCTGCCACGGGAGCCTTTTAAGTCACAGGGCATATGTGAATTTTTAAGGAAGGCCAAGCCTTTTTGCCATATCATATTCTTTTGGTGGAATTGTCGATTAAGCAAACGTATATTTGCTATACCAATAGACTTATATACTTTTTTTTCAAATTAAGTATTGTTTTTGTGACTATCAATAAATCAGTAATATGAGATGTATTCACCCAATTTCGCTTAAGGTGATGAAGGACTGGTAGAAGAAGAATTTTCCCACTATGATATGAGTTAAGTCTCGGTTTGATTCCCGCTGAGGGTGTTGTTAAGACCGATACGAGGTCGAAACTGCAGTCCACTGGTGCCTGGATGAGAACAACTTTTGGGGAAGCAAGGCTATATGAAATTCAATGGAGACGTCAGTTTAACTCCTATAATTGTGGGAAAATTCTTCTTCTACCAGTCCTTCATCACCTTAAACGAAATTGGGTGAATAC